ATAGTTATTCATGCAATTCTAGCTTATTCCTTTTCTTGATTTTCTTCCCAATTCTCTCTTAGAGATTCTTTTCTGGCTTATTCATTTTCTTGATTTTTTTTCCCAATTTTCTCCTAAAAATTCTTTTCTTTTAGCTGATTCAAACCTAGTTATTATGTTTTGAACTACTTTGTTTTCAGTTACTTCATCCAAAGCATGATTTCCACTTATGATAGTGTTGCTTTCTTCTTCATTTAGACCAGCGAACCAGTCATGAACTATCCCTCTAAAGGTGACTTCAATAAATTTAACTATTTGTAAAGCATTCCAACTTTTGTTGCTATAGCTATCCAAGTGGCTTGAACACAGGTACTAATCACTTTTTTTAGATCAATAACATAGTCTAAATCTAGTCAAATGTCATTTGTACTGATCATTTGTTCTTTTACTCTAACTGGAGTTTCAAGTCTAGATTGATTTTTGCATTTCTTTCTATCATATAATATTTCATGTATCTGATTTTTATTCCTTTTATAACTTTGATTAATGCTAGATTCTACCCTATGTTATACTGAAAATTCTATTGGAGTTGTATTAGGTTGTCTCTGATCTTTTTCTTCTTCACTTTCTCCTTCAATTTCCCCCTTTCTTTCTTTTTGAGCATTCATCTTCATATTTCCTAATTGTTTAGTAGTTATCATAATCTGTTTGCATAAATGGTCTAATTCTTCTACATCTTCTTCTTCTAAGAATCTTTGTTCCAATTCTTTTAATTTTCTTCTTAAGTTTTTAACACATAAAGTGTTATTCCCTTCTATTTAGATTTTTTGGTGAAAATCTTTGAGATTATTTTAAATCCTTCATTTCTATCTATAATATTTCATCAACTACAGACTAATGTTATAGTAACTTGTAGATCTATGAGTTGAGTTTGGATCTTATAAAAATTATTATTTATATCACTTTCTAGTTGTAGAATTATTCTATGATACATTACAAGTTTTTATGGCAAATTTTTTAGCAATTGCTTTTAATATCTTAAGAATTTCTTCCATTTTGATTTCTAAATCTCTAACTTGAGATATCAAAGTCTTTTAAGTCTTTGATAAACCTTATTTTTTCTTTTATTTCTTTCAAATCTCTATAATTTTTAACATCATTTATTCTTTCTCCTTTTATCCTTATTTGGTAATTAAGAGTTTTAACTTTTACTATGTCTTCAAGACTTACTCTTGAAGCTTCTCATTCTAGGCTTGCTAAGTTTCTCTCTTCGAATTGAGTTAGTTACTCAAACTCATTATAAATTCTAACTAATTTATCTTTATAAAGTATTTCTTAAGTCATTATATTTTATTGAAATTATAATGTCACTTTTCTAAAACTTAAAAGATTGCTCCATTTTAACTCTAAGTTAACTTTTCAATCAAAACTAATAGAAATTTTATACCGTAAATTATTTTGAAATATCCTTCAAAGTTCTTAAACCCTTTAAAAGAAAACTAACTTTCTAAAATAAAATAAAGCTAATAGTTAATAAACTAATTATTGAATTAAGCCATTATCCTCTCAGAGCAGAAAGTTTTGTAGGATAGATTATTTTCCCGGTTGATTATGTTGTTAGGAAAAAGTTACACAACTTTCTTGTATTTGTTTTATTCTTTTGGGGAAAATTTTTATTTAGTATTATATTGGATTATATTTTGAATAAAATCAATTATGTTATTTAAAATAATTAGTTATTTTGGTAAGACTTGTGAATGTAATTTTTTTTTTATTGTATAATCAATTATACAAAATAAAATATAATCAACTATATATAAAACAAAAGTAATTAATTATACAAACTAAAATAATTGATTATGCACACTTTTCAAGTTTAAAATAATGGATTAAAAAACTAAAATAATTGGTGTAAGTGCTCACAATCTCAAAAATGTTTTCTTCATGTGCTTTCAACCGGGAAGAAGAATCCGGCCTTAGGCTTGATTCTTTTCCTTCATAAGCAAAGGTTCCTAGTAAAGTTTGCAACAAAAAATACGAAACACAAAAATCATTTTTCCATATTAAATTTTGTAGGCATTTCTCGAGAATGTTGGGGATACCAAACAATCCCCAAACTCTATTACTATCTCAATTGAATACTAATACGAGACACAAAAATCATTTTTCCATATTAAACTTTGTAGGCATTTCTCGAGAATGTTGAGGATACCAAACAATCCCCAAACTCTATTACTATCTCAATTGAATACTAAATCTAAACTGTTATTGTACTATACTGTATGTGTATCTATTCTTAGCTATATTGTGTAGCATTTTAAATTTTCACTACAAGAAAACAACATATAATTAACAGAAAATTTTGTCAATTATAGAAGATATAATAGACAAACATAACTAACAACCATGCCTACCGAATAATCAATAGTAAAAAAATGCTTATAATTGGCAAAAATGTTTTATGTTGGTTATAATCCCTTTAATTGACAAAATTTTTATCGATCATACAATGATACAATGTACGAAGGAATTGTATTAAAAATAAAAGTGACATAGTAGTTAGCTATCGATTATAAGTATAATTGCTAATCAATGGCTGTCAGTTGCAAGTATAATTGTCAGTTGCAAGTTGTTAGTTATGTATTTCAAAAAATTTTAAAAATAATCAACAGCTCAATGTTGTCGGTTAAAAGCATATAATCTAGAAAATTTGACTGTCAATTATGTTTTTTATTTTTTTTGATATACATAATCGATAGCCTTCAACTACTAATTATAGTCATAATCAATAGCCATAAGTTATCGATTATACATATTGTAGCCAAAAAAAAGAAAGTGCAGACTGAGCAAAATCCAGATTGATATTTGTGATTTTTCTTATTAATTAAATTATAAAAAAGGATCAAACGAAATTTAATATAAATATCAAGTACCACAACATTATGTATATATGAAATAATGTTAAGAATAAATAGAAAAACAAGAATATTATTCAAAGAACATTATAAGAAGTAATGGACAAACATAAATAACATTAAAATGAGAACTTACCTTATTTTGAAATAAAAATTTTGCAAAAATAAAGAAAGAAAAGAAAAATGCATTGGTATACATTATGATTTTATTGAAGTAAAAAAAATAAAAAATAAAAATCAAACTTAAAAGAAGAATTTACCTCATAATCAAAGAAATCTAATATGTAAAATAGAAAAATAACTATTAATATATCAAATAATAGAAATTCTTAATTGAGAACTAAATTGAAGTAACTAGATGATGCATTAAAAAAGGAAAAATACCCTGAATGAGATGGATGAAAGAGAAAGAAGATGAAGGATTGCCAGCAATGAAGATAATGGGAAAGGTAGAAAGGAAGGATGAAATAAAAGTAGACCTGCCCAAAAATAAGGAAGCAAGAAGATAAAAGATGAAAGAAAAATGGGAAAGGAAAATGAAAAGGAGAAGAAGTTGAAAGAAAAATGGGGCGCTTTACCTTGTGGAAAGAAAGAGGAAGGGAAAGGTAAGAGAAGATGCAAAGGAGAAAACATTGGGATGTTTTGATTCTAGAGTCCTTTATATAATCGAAATATGGTTGATAGAAATGTTGTTGGTTATATTAAAAATGGCTATCAATTATGTTTCAAATCCAATGAATTGGGAGATTCAATTTTTTTGGCAGGTTTAGTGTAATCAACAACTTTTATTAACTGTTGGTTATGTACATATAATACATAACTAATAGAAATAATGTCATTGGGTATACATTAATATGTGCAGATCATCTGTTATTTCTCTAAATATTGGTATGCTATGCTATTTTTTTAAAATGATGTGTTGTTTTTGTTTTATTTTTTTTTAACTTATGTGCTATTTCTTGGAACTCAAAATTTTATGACCATTTTTTAATAAATATTTTATATTTATTAATATAAACTCTTATACTACACAACTAAAACTAGTTTAATTTATTATATATATACAAAATATATACTAACTTTTCATACTACACAAAATATATACATGCACTATGCATATATAAGCATACATACCATAAGTCCAAAATATCAATGTCCCTATGTAAGAGGTGATAAGTGGTCAAATCCAGATCCTCCAAAGGAAGGACCACTAGTCTAGGGCGATGCAAAACCTATAGATTGGCTAAGTAAGTGTATATGCTCTTGGAATCTCTTCTCAAAGGTGGCCTCCATCTTCGATACTCTTTGTGATACCTCCATCTGAATATGTGCAGCTACCTCTCTCTAAACTTGCTCTGCCATTTCTTCCCAAACTTGCATAGGCATTAACTGCAATTGCTAGACTTGTGTTGTGAGCATCTTGGCGGTAGAAGACAAGGCCTCACTAATCTTATATTGTCAACAAGGTATGCCATGCTCAATTGGGTCTTATAGTGTGGACATCCATTTCATTTGACCTTTTTCAGGGGGTCCAACCACTTTCTTCCAGATAAGTGGATCCCATTTTGGCCATAAGTTCTTGTTTGGTCCATGCTTCTCCACATACTTTTGATAAGCATAATGCTGTTTCAAAAATAAATTTTCATTAGTTAGACTAATTTAAATTCTATTAAAATTAAAAATAATTATAACTACTATCATAAAAGAATTAGATACTTACATATATCTGCTCAACTTGTGGACATATCCAAGCAGGTGGGACACCTTCTAAAGCATCAAGCCACAAGTCATGTGAGTCAAGAGATATAACTCTAAAGGTGTGGGCCTGACTCCTTCTCTCTTCATTGCCTATTAAAATATAAATAAAATTAAATTTTAGAATATGTTTGGATGAAGATTAGTAAAGGAAAGGTAAGGAATGTAAGTAAAATTTTGAGAAACAAGTATAAACATTTGCTTTGTGTTTTTTAATTTGGTTGCATTATTGAGAAACTAAATGTCACACCCCATACCGAGAGTGAAACAGACGCCGTGCACTCGGGAACGGGTCCCACAGTGCACAAGGCTCGAAACCTACTAAGTTCATGCTACTAATTCAGATAATTCAGGTCATATCTAATTTCATTTTCTTTCTACACATTTACCTGTCAAAGTGTACAAAGAGTTATAATTTATTTATACAATCCTTACTACAACTACATAAGTTCTGTACACAAAAGTCCTAAGTCAGCATGGGTGACTAACGGCCTAGCTACAGAACTAACTCCAAAAATGCCTAGCCGTCTAGCTCGTCACTCCCCCGGGCTTCCCACGCGTCGGGTCTCACTACCTGAAATGGTGGACAAGGAAACCATGAGATAAAATATCTCGGTAAGTAAATATGGGTGCCCGAATCAGGATTTAAAGCATGCCAAATAATTGGTTAAAACATGAACAGAGCGTTTCAAGAACAGAGCATTTCAAGAACAAATCATTAATGCAAAATAAAATCACGTAGTGGTCTCCTCTATTAGCCATGGCCAGTTCCCACTGGCAAGCAAACGAGTTCTAGTGTATAATCCCCACTAGTAGGGCCACGAGCAAATCGGTCCTATCACGAACATGTCGACATGTGCTAGCGTTTGTAACCTCCCCCACTAGCGGGGTCACGATTACACGACCATATCGGAGACAAAACCAAGCAAGATTTACAGAAATCACGATTCACGATCGTTCTCACTTTCAAAAATAAACCGAAGAATTTCATGTGGGCATGCTCAATTCTAGAAAATAAGGAAAATAATGAAAGTTCAAATTCCCTTTTTAATCATGCTCAAATGCAATTAAAATCCATTTAAACCTCGCCACCATCTCAGAAAACAATTAAAATATGCTTCAAAATTTTACGGGCTTTACCATAATTTACTTACCTTAGTCACGCAGAATAGAAGGCCTAATCCAAGTGCTAAGACCACAGGGCAAACAAGGACCTATTCACAATATTCTCGAGTTAATATCTATAAGGAAATTTTATTCCTTTATTTATTTTCATTTCTGCTTTTCTATCCGGAAATTAAGCATTAACTGGGATTGGTTATTTATCTATGTATTTACCATTATATAATTACCCATATGCAAAATTTCCTCAATTTCATGGACAAGCAATGGGGGAACCGGCCTTGAAAAAAATGGCCAACTCACGGGATTCTCCCCTTTCTTTCTCTCGGACCTCACACACAACAGCCAAACCCCCTAATTTCCTACATAAATCATCAACCAAAACCCATGCTCAAGTTGCCGAAATCCTCCCTATTTCAACAAAACTCTCGGACAACTCAAGCCCATTTCATATAGCCACTTAAACTCACAAATCAGCACTTAAACAACCAATTTCAGGAGATTAAAGAAGCCAACTTACCAGAAATGCTCAACAAGCAAAGCTGGAGCTGGCGGTAAAGGGAAGAGCCGGCGGGAAAATTGCAGGACTTTCACGGGGCCACTA